TGCCGGCGGGATTAGTTGAGCTACTTCCTATACCTAAAAGGCCATGGTAGAGCGTATCCATGGATTTCATTTCAGCCCTACTTAAGTCAGATGGGTATGGCTCTATCATGGTGGTGGTCGATCGTTTCTCCAAGTATGGCACGTTTATACCGGCACCAAGGGATTGCACAACCGAGCAAGCAACCCATCTATTTTTCAAGAACGTAGTGAAATATTGGGGCTTGCCTCGGAACATCATCAGTGATCGAGACCCAAGGTTCACGGCAAAGTTCTGGACGGAGTTATTCAAGTTGCTTGGGTCCGGGCTTCATTTCTCAACAAGCTTTCACCCCCAGACGGATGGGTAAATAGAGAGGATGAATGCCTTGCTCGAGCTTTATCTAAGGCACTATGTGAGTGCCAACCAGCGAGATTGGGCCAAGTATATGGATGTTGTCCAATTCTCCTTCAATTTACAAAGATCTGAAGCAACGGGCAAGAGCGCATTCGAGCTTGTCATGGGACAACAACCCTTGACTCCACAAGGGGTTGCCTCAGGATATACAGGGAGTAGCCTAACTTCTTATAAGCTTGCGCGAGGATGGCATGAGCAACTTGATATATCCAAAGCTTACTTGGACAGGGCAGCAAAGAAAATGAAGAAATGGGCTGACAAGCATAGGCGCCCAATGGAATTCCAAGTAGGGGACTTGGTGATGGTGAAGCTACTACCACAACAATTCAAGGTCTTTCGCCAAGTACATAAGGGCCTTGTGCAGAAGTATAAGGGACCATTCCCAATATTGAGAAAGGTTGGGAAAGCATCATACAAGCTTGAGTTACCCGCTAGATTGAAGATTCACCCGGTGTTCCATGTGAGCATGTTAAAGCCCTATCATGCAGACAATGAAGATCCAACAAGAGGCGAATCACAGAGAGCGCCCACGGCTGTGGTGGCGTTCCTTCGAGAGGGACATCGAAACAATCGAAGCCAAGAGGCTTATAAGGAGAAGAGGGGTACCAAGCTATAACGAATATCTTATTCGTTGGAAAGGTCTTCCAGACAGCGAAGCCACATGGGAAAAAGAAGGAGACCTATGGCAATTCCGGGACAAGATAGCCAAGTTCGAGGAACGGCCTTGACGGGGTCACTTGGGTAGGAAGCATGTCACGACCCACACATCCCCACCCCTCACTAGGGTCACAAGGCAGCAAGACATAATCGTGGCCTAGGGGGCTTGCCCTTGGTGCATGGCTGGCTAGGCCAGAGCACCTTCCCCTATAGAGCTTTATATAGCAGGCTGCCATTATACCCAGTGAACATGCCCATGACAGTAACACAATAATGGGCCATGGGCTGGGCCAAATGGACTACAAATGAGCCCAAACTTGGTGACCCACCGTTATTGGGCCCAATGAGAATGATGGTGCAATCAGATTTAGAAGATGGGGCCTAAAACTATCTAGAATGTACGTGATAGCTCAAGATGCACCCGAAAGTCTCTAGAACACTTTAGGGATAACTTGTACATACTTTAGAGGCTAGATCTTTGGAGATGCTTCTAGACTATTTTAATTAAGTTGTATGTACTCAGAATGGTATAGAGGTCTTTAGAACCCTCCATTTGAGGAGGTTAAGAATTATCTAGGCTAGAACATTCTAGACAAGGGAAGGAGCCTATAAATAGGAAACCTCCCATACATTTTTGAGATATTCAACACTTGTACTCTCTCAAGCATTTATAAAAGCATCCTTTCTAAAGCTTTCTCTTACATTCTCACTTGTGCTTTCCAAGCCAACCACACTTAACCTACAACACCAACACTTAGCTTTGCTGAGCATTCGGGGAGCCTTGACTAGTAGTCTAACGGGAGGTGACTCTAGTAGGCCGCGTGCAAAGGACTTGGGGAAAGTAGTCAGCACATGACAGTTCGCTAAAAATAATCCCACCTTTGGGTTATTTTTATATAATTCGACCTTTATACTTAATCTGCTTTAAATGGTCTCAACCGGTTATTTAACTTGTTATAGCAAGGTACATGACACGTGTCGGCAACTGATCAGTCTAAAAAATAAAATAAAAAATAAAAATTATACTTAATCAATTAAAAAACAACTTGTTTCATTTAAAAAAAAAAGAAAAAAAACACCCCCACCAGCCCAACCACCCTCCATGGTTGCTCCCTCCCACCGGCCTTCCACGCTGCCTGCCCACTGGCGCCGGAGCGCCGTGCCGACCGCCCTACCCCTTGAAATGCCAACTCCCTTCCCCCTCCCCTGGAACCACCAACTACACTCGAAAAATCCTTCCCCGTCCAGGCATCCAGATCACAACCTCCCTCCCCTTCTTCACCACGTTTTGGGCTCCCTCCCCCACCCCTGTCCCTTTTCCGGCCACCTCCCCTTCCCCTCGCCCTGAATTTCGGCCCTCTTCCCTTCCCCTGCCTCCATTTCAGCCCCCCTCTCCCTCCTATGCCTTGATTTCGGATTTTTAGTAATGGGTTTGGTGGTTTAGAGGTGACGGAAGGGGCTGGGGTAGGGGCGGCGATCGGCCGGTCTGGTACGACACTCTGAGCGCGACGGAGCTGGCGTCTGGGACGATGGTGGGGCGGAGAGGTGGCCGAGGCTGGAGCTGGTGGTTGTTTTAATTTTTAATTATTATTATTTATTAATTTTTAATTATATTTAAACAAGTTAGTTTTAAACTAGTTAACTAGATTAGTGTCCGTGCGATGCACGATAGTAATAATCTTTTTCCCATATTAATTGTGATATAATATAAAAATGAGGCAACTCTTGTAGAATAAACAAATGCAATGCAAATAGAAAAATAAAACAATAAGACAAAAATTATTAAAAATGCAATTGAGAATAAAAAATTCTTGTTGATTAGTTGTGTTGAAAATATTTAAATGTAGTGTATATTATATTACATTAATGATGCATATTATTCCCGATAATTAAAACTATACAATCTAGTGACTATATGACTAAAAACTTATTTATATAAAATCTTCCGTAAAACTATTAGCACAACATACATGTAAATATATAAATTACAAATAATATATCACCTTTATATCCAATAAAATAGTTTCAATGAAAATAAATACTACTCGGATCATTAAAGGCAATAATAATAAATAAAATTTAGGCAACACAAACCTATATTATTAATAGTACATTTCCTATTTATGAATTGATGCTCTACATGATATCGTCGCTTTGTTATTATATTAAAATGTGTTTTAAGCTATCCAATAATTGCAGTTTGATCGTTGTTTGTTTATTGCCTGAAAAGTTTATTTGTAGATGATATCTATTTATCGAAAAAAAGGATACACAAGAAGATGTCACTTGTCACTATATCCGACGTGTCTTTTACTATGCATCTTATTTATAATGTCGAATGTAATAAATTTATTATCTCAATTACATGTTTTAAAAGAATAGCTCAAGTGGTTAGAGCTTCCCTCTCGGTCTCAAGAGATCTTGGAATCGATTATCACCCCCGCCCTTGTGGCTCTCTAAGCACCAAAAAACATGTTTCAACAAAAGATAATATTTTGTTTTTTTATATTACTAAGATATTAATTTATTTAATTACATAATAACAAAAAATTGATTGATATTTCACATTTTCCTATAATTGAATATACTCCCTCCTTCCCTTATTTTTTGCCCCATTGCCAAAATTATTTGAGTCAAACTTTGACCATTAATTCATGTTATTCTACAAGAAATTATAGTCGAGTGAGATTTTGTTTTATTCATCTTAATGTAAATTTATTAATATCACCTTTTAATAATTTTACGTGTATAAAAATGAAGATATAAATGTTTTAACACATGTCTTGGAGACCGTGAAAAGTCAAATGGGGCAATAAAATAGGGACATAGGGAGTTGATATAGTTGTCGAACACAACATTTATTATAAAAAGTGTTGTTTTAAGTAATTTTTTTAATATCTATTATATGAATCAATGTTATTATTACTTTTTGGGAAAAATTCAATAATACTCAGAATGTCCAGATGGTAATGATAGTATCTTGTACCTGAACCATTGGCTCTCTTTTTCTATAGTTAAAAATGAGTTAGATTAATATTGTAGGTAAATTGTGTAGGAAGAATTAAGAACACTAAATAAAAAGAAATACATTTTATATAAAGATACTTAAGATTTGGAATAATTTTATTATAGTTATATTATACAAATATTCCAAAAATAAAATATTTTTTGCTAAAAGGGGAAGGAGAGTTTTGGAGGGAAAATATAACATCAGGAAATGACATGTGTCATTCCGTGTGTCTGTTTTAGTATTATGTTATTGATTAAAATTAATTAATAATAATATTTTCTTAAAAAAAAAAATTAAAATTAAAAGTTATTTTTTGATCAATCACGTTGTGACACGTGTACTTTAAACTAAAAAAAACCTATTTATTAGGTAACCGGTCACTTAGGACCATTTTAAGCTGATTGGGTATAAAGATCGGATTATTTAAAAATAACCCAAAGGTGTGGTTATTTTTAGCAAACACCCCATAGGTGGGATTATTTTCGGCAATTTTTCCTAGTAAAATAAGTGAGTAACAAACCAAACACCCTCTAAACAATAACTAAGGGCTACACTTATACCAAATCAAATACTTTCTCGGTTTCTTTTTACTTGTAAAACTTTAACTTTTACATTTACATATACATATACATATTTTAACAATTAATATCCTTAATTATGACTACATAAAAAATATTACAAATTAATTTTAGGAAATTATATATATGAGACAAATCTAACAAATACGATGATACATTAAAAAAGACGAGGCACATATCCTGCTGCGAGTCTACCACTAACAAACACATAACACAGTCATAGTCATCATAGTGATAGAAGTCTGAGTATCAGTGCTCCGTGGTGTAACACAAGACTTTCGTACATACGCACGATTTCTAGATTTACAGATTTCCAAATAATTGTTGGCAGATCACAAACCGACACCCTCAAAGTCTTCTGATGGCAAGACTACAGCAGCTTGACGAGACTCCAGTTAAAGTGAAAGAGAAGAAGAATAGAAATCATGGATCCACTACATTCTTTGTGTTTGTAGATTATCTTTTTCTCTTCATTTTCTTCGCCTTTCTCGTCTTCATTCTCTTCAAGTTGTTCCCTTTCTAGATTCATATCTCTTCATTTTCTGTACTATTTTCCTTTTCCAATTTCCAATGATTTGTTGGAATTAATGAATTGAATTTATTAATTTTACTTTCGGATTTGCGATTGTTTGTTTTTATTTTTCTCTCGTTTGATCCCAACAAAAAAAAAGAAGGCAACTTTGATCTATTTATAATTGATTTGGGCTTTAATTCGTCTATATATTTTCTGGGGTAGTTGATTTCATGCTCTACATTGCGCAATTTATGCCTAAAACAGTCTCAATTTGTTAGAAATTGTACCAAATTAACTTCGGTTTAGTTAGTTGGGTGTCTGCTAGGTGTTTGATAAAAGTCCTAAAAGAGTGAAAATACCGAATTGGGATACTTTGGAAGATATTGGGAATGTTGGTCAAATAGCGGGTGTTCATGCGGTTGGGTTAATAGGGTTAATAGTAGATGCAGCAAATAGGGCTAGATTGCACAAGAAGAATTGCAAAAAGTTTGCTCATCACTTGAAATTAATTGGGAATTTGTTGGAGCAGCTTAAGATAACAGAGCTGAAAAAATACCCTGAAACAAGTGAACCCTTAGAACAGTTGGAAGATGCACTGAAAAGGGCTTATTTGTTAGTTCATAGTTGCCAGGATAAAAGTTATCTGTATCTGTTAGCAATGGGGTGGAGCATTGTGAACCAGTTTAAGCGCATTCAAGACGAGATCGATCGCTACTTGCGGATTATGCCTTTGCTAACGCTTGTTAGCAATGCTCGCTTCAAGGTGAAGATCAATTTCTTGTTACTTAATATTTGCATTGGGTCCTTTATTGGAATTATTTAGAATGTAATATCTGATGGCTGTATTGCGGTTTTTATTGCATTGTCATATGTTTCTTAATAGTTGTTTAAGCTTTTCGTGATTGCAAATGAGGATGTTACTTGTTTGCTGATTTTCTTTGATTTATTGTTGATCAATTGCTCATATGCTGCAAAGTTACAGTTGCTTTATTATAATTTGTCTCAAGTGTTTGTTGGGGTTTGCTTTGGCATTTGTTGATGCCAATGTATTGATGATTTGAGGTGATGTAACTTTACACGATAGTTGATATGATCCGAATACTGCTTGAGAGAAAAAATAACTGAATGACTTGAGGTGGTGTATATTTACATGATAGTTGATATGATCTGTATACAGCTTAAGAGATAAAGATAACAGAATGGTGGGCTAATTTTCTCTGGGTTATCCTTCGGGATGTAATTTGTTTAAATTAAGAGAGTGTGTTGCGCGGGCTGTGTGTTAGGTGATTCAATATATTCCTTCTTTTGATGGATAGGAAAGATTAGAACGTATCCAAAACGATCAATATGACTACACATTAGAGGAAGAGGACAGAAAGATGCAAGTTGCAATTTTGAATAAAGAACCATCAATGGCTGATACTGTGCTGCTCAAGAAGACCCTTTCTTGTTCATATCCAAGCATGCGATTTGAACAAGCCCTTCTAGAAGAAAATGAGAAGCTTCAGATGGAACTGCAGCGGTCGCAGTCTTCCATGAATGTCCAACATAGTCAAGTGATTGAACACTTGATTGAGGTAACCGAAGCTGCCTCTAGGCACTCCAGAAATCTGGAGGCAAGTTATTCAAAATCTCACGATGGAAAAGCATTTTCTGGCATTGAGACCTGCCATAAGAGTATTGGTGCTTTGTCTACTGTCAGGTAATTCAAGCCCTGTCCCAAAAGATTGATGTATGCTTAGATTTGAACTCTTATTGCATTATCTGTCCTTTTTTCTGCATACTGTATTTACACTAGCATGTTTTCTTGCCTGTGTAACTAGTTAAGTCTATTAGGTTTATCTGTTGAGGCGTGGTCTAGTGGAGCTTGACTGTGATGTCTAGGCTAAATTGTTTTGCCCATATTTGTACAATTGGGTGCAGGAATACTTCCATACCATCTCCAGAATATGAGGTGCAATATGCCAGGGGATCAGATGATATGGAGGACTGGCACACTGACCTGCTTGACTGTTGCTCCAAGCCCAAGTTGTGTATGTTTTCTCTATTTATATTCCTATATTACTACTTATGTGACATGCATACAAATATACAGCCTTTCAATTACAATAGTGAATTAGATCTGAGAAGCTATACTGCGATCAAGTTTGGTTTTTTTCACTTGCAATGTAGGGCATTAATATACCACATTCCTTGCCATCTTTGGATGATAAACTCTTAAGTCTCTAATAAGGCTAATTCATTGATGTTTACATTGTCAGGTTTAAAAACATTCTTCTTTCCTTGTGGAACATTTTCAAGGATTGCATCAGTGGCAAACAACAAGCACATGTGTAAGTAACACAGTTTTTGCTTTACTATTCTCAATTTAGGATCTGATAGTATCTTAGTAATGTTATCATGTAGATTATAGGTTCATATTGTAATAAAAAAAAAATTTGGCTCAGTAGTATTATGCTATCCTGTTCTTAGCAAGCTTTGCTTTCCCCATTTAAAATGGAAAACTGGAGTTGATCACCAAAACCCAATTATATACTCGTGCTATAAACCTCGTAATCTGATATAAAATGTAAGTTTGCTGTGCCTAGAATCGTATTAAGTGTATTGTTGTTGTAATGGAAAAAACATCTTTAATAGGTCAAGGAAGAATTTTGGTGGAGATTCGTGTTTACATATACTCAAAATTTTGTCTACTCCCTCCGTCCCACAATATAGTTCCTGTTTTTCTATTTTGGAGACCCAAAATATTGTTCCTGTTTATATTTTTGGATAGTATGTAAAGACCATTGTATCCTCATTTTTTTTTACTTTATTCATTGAACTTCTTAATTTACCCTTATATTATCCACTTGCATTGTACTTTTTTCCATTTTCTCTCTCTAACTTTTGACTATAATTGTACTTTTCACTTTTTCCCCTTAAAATATCCACTTGCCTTGTACTTTTGTCCAGCTTTTTTCCACTGTTAAGGTATTTTTTCTACTAATCCTCCCATTTCTTAAATACCGTGAAAAAAACTCATTAGGAACAATATTATGGGACGGAGGGAGTACTATTTAAGATTGTTTTTGACCTCTTCCATTTTCCTTAAAATGATTCGTGGAAGTGTAATTCAGAAACAAGATATGGGCTGAGCCGTGGGTGTATCTCGAGATAGAAAAATTGCAGCTATGAAAAGGAAAACTCAGACTTTAAAAATTAACTTTGAACTGGCACAAAGTCTCTAAGCGGTTAATTTGTTGTAAATGTCAGTCTTCTCCGAAGCATCACGCTTTCCTCTGCATTCTGCCATTCTTCATCAATTTAGATCGGCTGCCTCAGCCTGGCTTTACAGCCTCTTCAAATTCACATATTTCGAAATTATCCATTGTTTTGACTATTACAATTACATAAAAAGACTATTACTTCATTCATAGTGTCATTGCCACCTTTTTTGTTTTGGCATGTTCAAATCAACAATCATATCTAAAAGTCAATTTCCTTATATTTAAAGGTTTCTTTCCTCTTTTTGTTTTGTTTGAAAACGATGTAGTACAATGTTATTAGAGTTAAAATAGAGGGACTGCTAATGAGTTTGTCAATGATAATGACCATGAAATTTCTAATTTATTTCCCTGATTATTCTTGTCTCTGATGCTATATAGCTTCAGGAGATGCATGCAATGAATTGACAGCATACTCGTTGGTATTGTCATGTTGTTGCTACACTTGCTGTATTAGAAAAAAGCTTCGCAAGATACTCAATGTCAAGGTCTTACTCTTTCACTTAGCTGATCAACATGTCTTTAGCCTTCATGTCATAATTTCTGCTCTCCACATATTTTCTTAGCTCCAAATTGTTGTTCAGGGAGGCGCATGTGACGATTTTCTCTCACATTTATTATGTTGCTGCTGCTCTCTTGTCCAAGAATGGCGAGAAGTGGAGATTAGGGGAGTAAAAGGTGCTTTTTACTGTAGCCTAACCAGCAATAACTATGTTTGTCATTTTAGTTCTTGCGTTGCATGCTAGAAGTATTAAAATTAATCTCCTCTGTTTGAACCATGAATGTAGGTCCCATGAAGACCATGGCACACCCACCTTCGGTACAGCAGATGGAGTTCTGAATAAGTGACTGGAACATCAATCATAGATACTGCCTTCCACTTACATGCTTCACGCAATATACTCCGCATTTGCCATATGGAGAGCTGCTCTTTACATAGGTTGGCTGTGCAATCAACTGAAATCCTCTTCTTTGCCACCAACCACAGAGGGTGGGATGGGGAGAGAGCGAGAACTTAGGCTGTTGTTTCTATTTGCACTTAGAAGTAGAAAATGAGGATATTACATGGTAGTGTTATGTATATAGTTCAGTGTAGGAAACATAGTGCAGAGTAACTATGCAAAATTGGAGTATAAACAACCCTTTTATAAGTCCAGTTTATTACTCCTCTCACCGTAATGTTTAGATTTGAATCCTTTTCTTACCCCGAATGTTGCCCAAATTAGCATTATGTATGTAGTGCTACATCCAGGAGCAGAGAAGTAGAAGTTCCAAAATACAAACATAAAGAATATTTGTAGTAAACCTGAGAATAGGTGTGAATTATGCTGAAAGCACAATTGCTCAACAATCTCAGGCAGTCTCTTAACTCAGCAAAACCAATCAAATCAAGATTACAACAATATTCCAACAATTTTTGCAAAATAATGGATTAATGGTATACGTAGTACAAAATAAGGTAGCGTAGGTACAAAATTAGTAAACCCGTTTATGTATGCCTGGTAAGTATTCTTAAATGTAAACATGCACGAGTTAATGATCGTATAGTTCATATTTGAATACACCAGAACGTCAACTATTACGGTGGAGAGGTATATACTATAGAGTATCAATTTACATTAGGTTAATGTACGCCTTTTACACTTTCTATTGAAAGCGCTTATGAATTAACTCTATTTACTTCACCTTAAAAAATACGAGTAATATTCAGTGAAAATAATTTAAGTTTAATAAAAATAAATCTAGTTAAGTAAAAATTAATTCAGCTCAGTAAAAATAATTTCAATTCAGTAAAAATCAGTAACATTAAAAGAGAAATATCATGTACTGTATTTTAGATCAACAAAAAATAAGGTGAAGTGAACATGTTCTTACTACAACTCCTTAATGTCTCTAGGCTAAGACTTATTTAGTGGATAACGATTGAGGTCAAATAGGATTTTGTTTTGTTACCGACATTAGTTTACTTAATTAACTTGGGATATTATTTTCCCAAAAACACAACAAAATAACTTATTGTGTTAAAAAAGAAGGAAAGTTTACTTGCTTGTGCACCAAGAATTTACAATAAACTAGGATTAGGAAACGTAAAACCCTTGTTCCCATATTTTCTATAAATACTCCAAATAATCCTTCTTTTTTTTCGCACTCTTTCAAAGTCTAATCATATACTCTCGTACTCCAAATCATCCTTTTCCCCCCCTTAATATTCTAAACTTTTCAGTAGCAATAATGGCATCAACCTCTACTTCAACTTTGTCTAGGAAGCTAATCCTTAAGAGTTCCGATGGAGAGAAATTCGAAGTTGACGAAAACGTTGCAATGCAATCCCAAACCATCAAGCACATGATCGAGGATCTCGACGACATCAATAGCCCGATTCCGGTGTCTATTGTAACCGGAACAATACTCTCTAAGGTTATTGAATATTGCAAGAAACATGCTACCGAAGATTCGGACTCTGATGAGCAACTTAAGCAATGGGATAAGGAGTACGCCAATAATATGGACTTAAACACCCTCTATTATCTCCTTCTTGTAAGTACAAATACTTTTTCCTCTCTCTTTATTTTCAGCAATTAATTAATTATTTTTTCTTTTTTGACAGAAATTATTTTTTCTTGTTCAATATATCTTTTGTGCTTATTGTTTATTAATATCTGTAAACTTCTGTTTCATACAAAGTAAATAATTAGTTATGACAGAAGAATTCAATTCATTACGTACGTGTTGATCGATTTATTTGCTTAGAATTATAATTGTTTAAGTGTTCACGTACTTTCTTTTTCAATTTTCACGTTTGTCTAATATGAAATACTCTCTTTATTTTTAATATTTGTATCGATCACTTTGACTAATGCACTATTTACATACTCTTTTTAACTTATTTTTTTTACTATAAAAAATGAATAAATGTTACTCCATATTATGTAATATTATTGGATTAGTTACAAGGTTTATTTTCCTAATTTAATTTTTTTTACAATTTGGAAGGTAATGAGCTAGCATATATCTAAACTAATTAAAGAATTTGTTTAATATATATTTTTCTTTCTAAATGTTTTATTGAATATTATTTGTTAGTATTTTTATGCATTAGATTGTCAGTTTCATTAATTGTGTATACTAATGATGAAATTATGTGTGATGATTTGCAGGCTGCAAACTATATGGAGATAAAAGGTTTGTTGGAGTTGATAACTCAATGCGTGGCTGACATGATTAAAGGAAAATCGCCGGAAGAGATTAGGGCTCATTTTAACATCAAGAATGATTTTACTCCTCAAGAAGAAGCGAACATTCGAAATGAAAACCCGTGGGCATTCGAAAATTAAAGATTGATAGTTCGATGGATAAATCGATTACCAGTGTTTATTATCTAATATTTAGATTGTTTGTTGACACATTGTGATTGTTTTTATTTTGTGTATGTGTTTATGTTTTTAGTTTGAAATTTGCAGTTCTTCCCTTCTACTCAGAAAGTTTGTGTGGAATAAATTTATGTTTTATAATTAAAAGTAATTTTTTTTTTTTTTTTTTTTGACAAGACTGTAACAACATTCTTAAACAAAAAATAAAGTTCTACGGAGTATAAAGGATCTCATGCTTCAATTTCCAAGCCGAGTCAACAACACTCACTCGACTAATGTAATGAAAAACCTTATGCTTAATGTTACACTCAAATGTGAATGACTGACTAGTTTAGTTGATTAAAATCTTAAGAGATAGTACTCAAGACATGGAATTAAATCTCGTTTACATTATTTACCTTTACGACTCTTGCTCTTTACAACCAAAAATATAAAAAGTTAAATAAAAGTACGTGATAGAGTATAAAAGATATTCCTGGGCATCAAATATCAGCTTAAGTTTTTGGTTGAAATGGTTCTCTAACATGGTATCAAAGCCAACGTGACATAGAGGTCACGGGTTCGAATCTCATCTACCCCTCCTTCAAAGCGGAATTAATTCGCGTCGAGTATGGGGAGTGGTAGAGTATAAAACATATTCTTGGGCCTCAACCACCAGCTTAACCTTTTTGGTTGAGATGGTCCTCTCAGTACGTAAAGACAAAACAAAATAAAACCTTATCTTTTCTTGCATTTTTATCCTGATGATTTGCCTATGCTCTGCTATTGCACGGGTAAATTGTTAATGTTTTTAATTAAAAGAACTAACAATCCCATTATGTTTTACTATATCAAATGGTTCAAATCTCATTTACCTTTGTTTACATCATTCTATTTTTATATTAGTATAAACACACAGCATAACACAAATTCCCTCTAGAGAATGCAGTTTATCAATTTTCATATTAATTTTTTTTTAATGTTTCTTGACCACCTGAATAATTGTACAAAATATTTACCTGACTACCTCGACTTTATGAGTGCATTATGTTCAATTTCTAAAATTAAGTTCATCACTACTGAAGTAATGAGTACAGGATTCAACTTGACCCGAAAAAACTTATCCGTTTTGAATTATAATCGATCTAATTTGACCTGAGAAATTCAAAATTCAAACCTGATTTAACTCAAATCGAATACGAATTTGACTCAATCTGATCTTAACGCGACATCGATCTGACCCGTCCTGAATTCAGCCCAATTTGACTGGACTTGAACTCAACCTGACCCAAAATCGACCCGACAAATACCCGATCCAATCTAATCCGTTTTGACCCAGACTGATATTAACCCGAACCGATCCAATTTTAACCCAATCTGATTTCAACCCGACATGATTTTAAACCAACCGTAATTTAATACCAACCATAATTTTAATCCTACCTATAATTTCAAACCAACCATAAGTTTAAACCCAACCTAAAAACTCTAATTAATATCTTAAACAAATTAAATTAGTAATATACAAAATAGCAAACTAACATTGCTCGTAGCCTATTAAGATATCCTACGGTTGAAGAGTAATAATAACCTTAAAATTATGACATTCTTTTGTGTCTATATCACCATATGTGGCTATTATCTATCAATTTGTTGATAATTCATTACTTATCATCTCACTTATGTAGGTATGATAAGTCATTGATAATTTGATTTTAATTTGGCTTAAGGATATAAATGGCACAAGAAGTGATCGAATGAGTAAATTAAACTAATAATTGGTACCCCGTATATATTAATGACACAATATGAAAAATGACACATGAATGACCTAATATCGACCCATTAATAAGGTAATAACTCAATAATTACTCTAGTTCAAAAGAGACCTTATTTAATATTGAATTTAATCAACCCGACCAAAATCCAACCAAACACAAAAAGGATTTGAATCGGATTGGAATTGACCCAATACTAAATCAACCTTATGTTAATCAATCTAAAGTTAACCAAATCAAAATCGACCAAATCGGAATCAACCCCCCTAAGTCATCCGACCCAAAATTAACCAGTCAAACCCCTTTTGAACCTGATGTGAATTTAATATGAATTGATATGAAGTTGACCCTACCTAAACCCGACCTTGGATCAACAAGCTCTGATTGAAATCGGCGGCAAATTAAAAGGGTAATATTGATTTGACATCGACGGTGAATTAAAAAGGGTAATATTGACTTGAAATCGATGGTGAATTAAGGGTAATCATGACACGAACATACCCACCCTGTCCTAGGTTAACCCAAACTCCATCCGATTACTCGAATTGACACCTCTACTAATGAGGTGTTGTTAAGGTAGATTAGGTTCAATAAAGTGTATATAATAAATTGATTTTTTTTTTTTAATGAAATAAAAGTGAAAATCTTAAATAGCTAATAAAATTTAATTGGTAAACAAAATTCAGATGAAATAAATTCATAAGAAGATAGCACAAATAATCCTAATCTTGTACCAAAATTCTTTAAATCCTAATTATATAATTTATGCACAACCTTTAAATACACTCGGATACATATTTTTTTTTTTTTAAATCAAAAGTATTAATTACCTCACTAATTTTTTTCCCTAAAACTTAATCCTACAATCTAAATTTATTTAACTTTCCAAAGTACATTCATGTTATAATAATGATAAAAGATATAAATTGTGAAGAAGTATAAACTTGGAAAGATAGAAAGATACATAGTACGTAGTATAAATTTTTGTTTACAAAAATACATTACTTTCCAAAACAAAAGGATAAAGACTTAAAAAAGCCGGTTTGGGTGATTTCACTCTTCTCGTTGGCGAACATTAAAAAAAATAAAAAAAAATAATCGTGTTAAAAAAAAAATAAAGTATACTTCTACTAGAACTCCCTCAAAAAAAAAAAAAAATTAGTCTTAAAAAATCTATAAATACCAACGAAGTCTTCCCAAAGTCTCATCATCAATTCATATCCTTTCATACTCTCAACAAAAATTCTCTCTCTAATTTCTTAACTTTTCCGAAACCTTACAACACTCAACCTAATTAGCAATGGCAGCATCAACCTCATCTTCATCTTCTTCCAAGAAGATAATCCTTAGGAGTTCCGATAAGGAGACTTTCAACGTCGACGAAAAGGCAGCACCGATATGATCGAGGACCTCGGCGACAGCACCGATCCAATTCCGCTACATAATGTCACCTCTAAAATCCTCGCTAAGGTTATCGAATATTGTAACAAACACGCTGTTGCCGATAACTCCGAATCCGTAATACAATCTGATGTTGAACTCAAGCAGTGGGAAAAGGACTTCCTCAATGTCGACCAAGACACCCTCTTTGATCTTATTCTTGTGAATTTTTTTTTTTTCGATCTTTTGCTTTGATTTTTTTTTTTTTGTTGATTTGTGATTGACTTAATTTCTTTCTTTCGTTTATTTTTTATTTATTTATTTTGTTGCGTTACGATTGTATTAGGGCTAAATGGCTAATTTTACGATTAATCGATCTTTTTAGGGCTTAGGGTTGATGTTGTTTTAATTATTTATGATTTAGGGTTCGGATGTGTATATATGATTAATTATTTTATATTTGAAAGGGTTTGAGTTAATGTGTACTTTAATTTTTTAGGTTTTTTATTTTTTTATTTTTTTTATTTTAGGGTTTAGGGTTCGAAAGTATAATAATACGAGTACCTTAATCTTTTCTTGTCTTTATAAAATCTAGTTAGTCTTTAATTTTTGGGCTTGAATTATTTTACAAATAAAATAAAATTGATTAAATTTGTACGACTAAATTTTATTAAATCTTGATTTTGGGTCTGATTGGGTTGTCCATATTAATCCGATGAGCATATTGGAGTTCGTACGAGTTCTTTGTATTATTTTAGTAACTTATAATTTTATCATATATGATTATCATAATTTTTGATAATATGCTAATAGTTTAACACTTTGACTTCGCAATCATCGCATTATACATAATATTGTACCAAACTTTTTTGCTTAGTGTATCATGTATGAGTTGTTTGTTAATATAATTTAAGGGTTGTTACAACGGATAAATATAAGTGAACATGTTCTTTTTAATATACACTATTACGTGGTCGATTGATACAGTAATAACAAACGTTTAATTATTTGTGATGATGGTATGCAGGCTGCTAATTACATGGATATCAAGGGTTTGCTGGATTTAACTTGTCAATGTGTGGCTAATATGATCAAGGGTAAGACACCCGAGGAGATAAGGAAGACCTTCTACATCAAGAACGATTTCACACCGGAAGAAGAGGAAGAAGTTCGCAGGGAGAATCAATGGGCTTTCGAGTAAAACTCAAGTAGCAATTTAAGGTTCACTGCTTCATTGAATTAATTTCAAGTACTCACTATTTTTTATAATTTACTACTACATTTAATTAATTTCGAGCATAAGAAGTTTATTATATTTTTTTTTTTTACTTTTTTGTGTTAAATTTATTACTTGTGTATTTCAAGCATAAGAAGTCACTATGTTTACTGCTAGACTAAGAATAGGGTGATTGTTATACTTGTTACAAGTGGGCTATAATCAGAATGACACTCAAAGTTAAGATTACGTCTAAGCTATTACGGATTTTCTGGTTCTCAATGTTTTATATTGAATCTTTAATGACTTTTACTTAAGGGTGTGTTCTTTTTATCATAAGAAACAAAGTCTTAGGTTAGGTTTTATAGTTATAAAGGTTCAATCAATTATCTTGCGATAAGATTAAATCAAGTCCAGTAGGTTTTATTCATGTTTAATCGATTATGTGTAAATAAGTTACGTTACACAAATATAAATTCTAAAATTGTGTACAATCATTCAAGTTACATTACACAAATTAATATTCATTCTAAAATCAATTAATAGGTTCCATTCAAGTTACTACCTATAATAGGTTCCATTTAAGTCTAATATATATATTCCAAAATCGATTATATTTCATGTCTTTAACAACTTCATCCAATACTTAAAAACTAAAAACTATATCTGAAAAATTAAATTGAAATAATATATTCGTTTTTTTTTGTTTTTTTTTTGACGAGAAAAATAATATGTTTGTTAAGGAGCTGAGTATATATATAACTAAACTAAATAAAAAAATTATATAAATTTAGCATATAGAACCTCTAAAGGTATAAGTTGTTTATTATATAGAAGCTCTAATGATATTAGTGGACTAGCGGTTTGTTATAATGTTTGAGCAACGATATAGAAAAATAGATGTTATAATGTTTGAGCAACGATATAGAAAAATAATGTTAAATAAAAATTAGTATTAATAATAATTTTATGAAATAAACTGCTAATGTTAGTAGCAATTTTATTATATTAAATGAATCGTTAATAATGAAATTAGCGTTTTATTTTTAAAAAAACCGCTATAGTTATTAGTGAATTTTAGCCCTAGATAAAAAAAACCCCTATATATAAACATCTACC